CAACTCTCCTAACCCCAATATAGAGCAGCCACATCAAGGGATCTTCCAATAAACATTGCTTACTGACGCCAGGCCCTCTGACCAATTCATCAGCCAGAAGAACTGGTTAGAAGGCAAAATCAGTGGTGTTCATAAACCTAACGCACTTATTGAATCTTTCTGCTCTGCATCAGGTACATGATAGGCATGCGAATCTACACAGCTCCAGTGTTTCATTTCAGCTGAGAAGAGCTGCCAAAATGAGTGAGTGCTGTATAACATACCTCCGCCTGATGGAATTCCACTCTGGGCGGCCGCAGGACACACAAGTGGGGTGGGCATTTCTTCTGATAAGGCAAGACTGGGGTCTGCAGAAATTACCATAACCATCTCAGTATCTCCAGCCTTCTAAAGTCAAAATGAGGGGATGCTATCAGTTTATTGTTTAAAAATCACTGACTGATTGAAAAGAAGCTCAGGCCACCCACTTGGAAGGAACCAGCAGCAGAGCTCAGTTAACACCTTGCCTGACTGGGAGGTCCCAAGGGTACCTACTGGGGAACAGGAGGTAGGACTATATTACAAATGACGCACCATCCCTAGCTAAATGGGTGTTTTGGAAGTGTGTTAAGCACTCCTCTAAGAAAGAGCTAAAGGAGTTAATTCCATTTTTAAAAATTTGTTTGGTGCTGGGACATGCTAAGCATGTGCTCCATCACTGGGTTACCCCAGATCAGGGATGGTGAACATTTTAGAGCTTTCAGTGACACAGACAACTGCTGTAGCACTCGTGCCATAGGTTCACCACAACAGCTCTAGATCCTCTTATTCTTCAACTCCTTTTCTCAGTCTTTTTAAGCTCAAGTTTATTTGTTCCACCTGCAATTTTCATGTACTGCATGAAGGTAAAACTTCTAAGGGCTCCTCTCTGAATTACCAGACTCTGAGCTGAGGTCAGAGTTAAAGAGGCTTTTCTAAGCCTTTGAAAGAAATGCACTGGAAGGTCTTTCCAGTTTCTGGGTGTGCCACTGGAAACACTGTGGCCCTCAGCTCTCCAAAGTCCTGCTGAAAGAACAAGCCAGAGGATCAGTTGCTATTCAGTGCTATTGAAGATAGAGATGCACGGACAAGCAGCCATCCTGTCCCCATCCCAGTGGGCACAGCTGGCAAGGGACAAGAGAACAGCTCTGCTTGTGTTCATCAATAACAACCCCACTGCTCACTCCCAGGAAAGGCAGGATGAAAGCATGGCCAGCTCTGAGCGTTGCAGGGGATTCTTGGGGCTTTTTCATTATCCCCATCTCCCAGCCTTTGTCCCTGTCACACTTTAAGAGAAATGATGTGGCCTGGCTGGCAACTTGCCACAATTTCCTCAGAGCCCACTTCCTGTGGATTCCTGGTCTTCCTGCTATATATCTCAGCCCCTCTAGTAACCCTCGAGCCACACGGGAACCGTAATCAAGTGAGTTTCTTTTTCTTCCTTTCCCTTTTCATTTTGCCACACCCCCACACGAGCACCCCAAACGTGTTCAGCAACGAGTGCACTTAGTCAAGTTTATTATCAATGATCCTAGTGACTCTTAATTGCTGCATCGTTAGTTGGGCCACGCTTAGATGGAGCAGCTAGATGGAGCAGTGCACGACAACTCCAGAAAGATGTGTTGGTGCTGAAAGCCTGGGAGGGAGGAACTGACAGGAAAAGGGGTGCGGGAAAGAGGGAAGAGGGTGGATGTTTGTACTGTGTGCAGCAGCCTGCTGCTGGGCTGAACGATGGGGAGAGATTCCATTAAAGGGTTCGGCCAGGTGTAAAGATGCCGGGGAGTCAGTTTTGCATATTTTCAAAACTTTGGGGAGCTCCGCACATCAGCAGCCCAAGCAAACATTCTGCCTGACGAAAGTCGATGTTATGTTAATATCCAGCACCTGCCACCCTCGGGGATCTCCAAGCCCTCTGCAAGCTCTGCCGTGTTGCAAGCCAAATGCTCGGTAGATGGGAGGTAAAGAATGCACCTTGTCATCTAGAAAGCAGCGAGGGGTGGCCTGCTGCAGATCTTTGTCAAGATATGAGCGCCCTGCTTTGTGCATGTTCTTGAAGTCTCTGCACAGCCAAAGAGACCCACTGAGATGCCTCAGGTCAAAAAAACAGGTGGCCAATAGTGCACACCTTGTACTGAATTAACCTCCCCAGGAGGCCAGAGACGCAAGGCCCTGTCTAACTCACAGATGTCGTGAGTTGCTACTTCATCATCTGCTTTGGTAAAATGGATTTAATGATAGCTTCAGAGAACCAGCTCAAATGGACATTCAGAGTCTATGAGACTACATCAAGGGAAGGGTCAGGAGAAGCTCTCAGGTCCCTCAAAGTGTGGGTACCAGGGAAATTCTAGCCTGTTTGCCATGGGGACCTTGCTCTGAGGGTCCCTCTCTCCAGGAAGTTGCTCCACCTTTTACACCTTTCGCAATGTCTGAGCACACTGTATCCCTACTTCATCTGCAAGAAGTTGGAGTTTAGAAGATGCAGGGCTTTTCTGAATTCTAATTTCTATATGTTTCTTCCGAGCCCTATACCCTGCAAAAATTCAAAAGCAGTTTTTATACCTCCACCACTCACAGTCATTTTCATTTCTTTAAAGAACACATCACTGGGAATACAATGGCAGATCAACATGAAGCCCATTTTCCAGGAGCATTTGACTTACTAGTGAACAGAAGTGTCTTAGTTACTTTTTTCTCATTGCTGAGACAAAAATACCCAACATCCAAAGCTAAAGAGATAAAGGTTCGTTTAGCTCAGTTTGTAGAAGTTTTAGCCCATAGTCTGTTAGCTCCAAGGTAAGGTGGCACGTGTCAGGGGGGCACTGCGAGAAGAAACAGATCATAGTGGGCAGAAAACAGCAAAATCAAGGAAGGGAGAAGTTTGCAGGTTGTGCAGCTGCTGATGTCCCAGGTTGCCACTGCCCTAGAGAGCAGAAATGACTATGGGAAGATTTGGGCTGAACCAGGAGTAAGCAGGTAATCAGCGTGTCTTTTCTCTCAGTAGTTGGAATGCCGTCATCTTGCACAAACGATCAAGGACTCTTTCCCAGTGGAGACCAGTGACCATTTTCACGCTACCTTTCATACTGTAACTCATGTGCTCAAGAAGTGCCATGCGAATTAGGAGAGCGTCACATAGTAGGTGAGGTATACTTTGCATTATTAAACAATTCACATTACAGTCATGTGTCACTTAATGATAGGCTATTTTGTGAGAAATGCCTCACTGGGCAATTTTGTCATGAGATCAGAGTGAACTTAAACATGAAATGAAGTCAAGCACAAGAGAAAATGATGCAGTGAAGAAATCTGATCAACACAAGATAATAAGCTGCACCCAGCATTCACCTGACTTCACATGGCGTTGTTTTATAGGAAACTTTCTTTCATACATAGAACTACTTGTGAAATATAATGTTTTAAACATATAAACCAGTAACCTGGTCACTTGGGATCATTATAGAGTATTTCTTACCATGCATGGTTGCATGTTACGGTATGCTTTGACATGACAAGCAGTGCAGTAGATGTATTTATACCTGAATCACCACAAATATATATACAAGTACCACATTGAGCTATGATGTTCTAGGGACTGTGGCAGTAGAAGATAGGAATTTTTAGCTTCTTTATAATATTTTGGGACCACTATAAAAAATGCCACATATTATGGTTTGGGATTTAAATGCCCCACGCATTCAAGACCTGTTTGGGAGGTGGTAGAACTTCTTGACACCATTTGGAGGTGATGGAACCTTTAGCAGGCAGGACCTAATGGAAGAAAGGTTACTGAAGTGTGCCTTAAAGGGGAGCTGTCTGTCTGTCTGTCTGTCTGTCTGTCTCTCTCTCTCTCTCTCTCTCTCTCTCACACACACACACACACACACACACACACAGAGCTTCCTGGTCACCTTGAATTGAACCCCTTTCCTCCATGATATGCTCCTCTGCCATGTTCTGCTGCCTCACTACAGACCCAAAGAAACAGGCAAAGCAACCATGGACTAAAACCTCTGAAACCGTGAACCAAAATAAATCTTTGCTCCTTATTATTGATTTTCTCAAGTATTTTGTCACAGTGACAGAAAACTCACTTTCCATTTTCAGCTGAAACATCATTATGCACCACACTTGTGTGTGTAAGTATAAATTGATAAATCTTACCAATTCTTTACATTTCTATGTGGATTGAAAGACTGTTTTAAAAGTCAGTGAGCATTGGGGCTGGGGATTTAGCTCAGCAGCATAAGAGCCTGTCTTGCAAGCAGACAGTCATGAGTTCCATCCCTGATACTGATAAAAAAAAAAAAGTCAGTGAGCATCAAGATATAAGTGATAGGGCTGGGGATTTAGCTCAGTTGTCTAAGTACTTGCCTAGTAAGCACAAGGTCATGAGCTCAATCCATGGTACCAAAAGAAAAAAAAAGATATAAGTGATAGAAATTCATGTGATGGAAGTGATATGCTCTGTAGTATTTTCTGAACTAAGAATAATTTATTATATTTGATCCACCTTAATATTTGAATAGCATATATAATATTCATGTTCATTTATGACTCTTTTGTTTTAAGGTTGATATTGACAATTTCAGTTGCTATTGCTTCAGCCGAACACAATTTTTCCAAATTTGGATTGTGATAGGAAAGAACTACAATGATTCTAAAGAATTTGTCTGTTTTAGCAAAGATAAACATGAAACACAAATTGCATGAAAATCTCAATTAATAACATATTTGTAATTCACCTAAAAATTTAACAATAATTTTTACATAATGAAAGCATAGTAACCAAGCATTGGGTTCCCACTGGGTAAGCAGAGGCAGAACTGAGGGAGGAGATTAGGACATTATAGGTTGGCTAGAAAATAGGACATAATCTATCAGTCATGATCCAGAACACAGCCTGGGAGCAGGATACACCCATGTAACCTGATGCAGAATGAATGTGACCTGTCGATCACAGCCAGGACGCAGGGGTGGCTGACCAGATCTGGGAAGATGTAATCTTGCTGTTCTGTGCTCCTGTTTCTGCAGCAGCCCGTCATACTTGCAAGCTATAGCTCTGCTTGCTCTTTTTTTCTTCTCTTTTTTCACTTTCCTCTTTTATTCCTTTACTTTAACCGGAAGTTTTGTGTCACTGTTCCTCAATGGTCCCAGCCAATCCTTTGGATGAAACAGAAAGAGCCTGGAATCACCATGCATAGTACCATCTGACAATAGGGGGGTTGCTAAGAATTTGAGGCCAGCCTGGACTGTACTGAGAGACCCCATCTCAAAAAACAAATACTAGTAGTACAATAGTAATTATAATAATGAATTTTCTCTCTCATATCATTCATCTAAATATTACTGACCCTTAAACAAAACCTTATTGCTAAACATGATAATTCAATATGGTTATCTTTGATACCTGTCAATAACCAACCAAATGAAACAGCTTCAGCTATGTTTGTGAAGATGCATTAATCAAGGTGGGGAAACAGAGGATTATTACTTTAGAGTTCGTTAATATGTGCTTTTGTACATGGAGACAGGTAGCTCTCCATTCATACCCCTGCCTTCCTCCTCCTTAAAATACCAGGCAAAGCCTGCTAACCCTTGATCCTAACTGGTCAGGTTTGAATCATTCATGAAGCAGTAAACTGAACCCCAACTGGGAAATCATTAGGACAGTTAAAATTCTTTGTCATCGTAGATTACATTATCAGCTAATATCACATATGGATCATATCTATATGTATTTGCTAGATCATAAGAAATGTTCTTTAAAATTTGATATGAATGGATAAGTTACACTTACCAATTTATAACTGTACCAATTTGTATCTTCACCAGGGAAATATGTTTTCCCCACACTCTCAAAACTTGTATTACCACTTTCTAAGAGGTAAAAAGCTGGGCTTCACAGATTTAATATCAATTTCTTTTCTCTCATGGAAGATTTTTTTCCTTAAGCTTTTTGTAAACATGCATTTCTTTTCTTGTGAATTTTCTATTAGTATCATTTTATTTTCCTTACTCTTATTGATTTGTATAAGTTCCTTATATATATATATATATACTTATTGAATCTTTGCCTATCACACATAATACATGTTTTACTATTTTGTTGTTTGTCTATCAACTTTTTTCATGATGTATTTTGATGGGAAAAAATGCACAACTATTAAGTGAGATCATCTGCCCATTTTAAAAAAGGATTTTCAGCCTTGGAATTCTTCAAAGAGCTTCAGAAAGATCTGTTCTTTTCCTAGTTAAAGAATATTTACCTATAATTTATAATAGCACTATAAATTCTGCTATAGCCAACTTTGATAAATTAATTTGTCAGTTTGTATTCCAACACCATTTGATTACTATAACTTTAAAGTGCGCTGCATAGGTAAAAGATAAATAACAGGAAACAGGGAGCTGGATCTTTTGGGAAAGAGAAGGGAAGTGAATCTAGAGATGGAAAGAGTGGGAGAAGAGAGGAGGAAAAGATGAATTAAGATTGCACTATGAGCTTCTGCCTCCCCTCATGCACTGTAAACAGGTACTGATAAAAATGATATATTTATGAGAATGAGCATTTTGCTGTCGGAGGACGGATACTTCTGCAAGCTTTCAGTTATTTTGCTCACTCCTTCAGTAGCATTTCATAATGTCCCTGGATGCCCCACTGTCCATTTCAAGCAATTAGCCACATTTATAAGCAGGATTTCTTCCCAATCTCAGCCACCATTGGTAGCTGTTAATCCATAAGAAAAACTATTGCCTTTTATCATAGGTCAGACAGCTTAGTAAAATCTAATCTAGTAAATTTTCTTTTGATTAATAGAATTTCTAAGTTTACAAAAATATTTTAATTAATATGAACTGTTTGGAATCTTTTTGATATTTATCTTAAATTTATTTCCCTCTTATTATTTCACTGGCCAGTCTCAACAATAATATTGAAGGACCCAATTGTGTAAAATTTTCTAATTCACTTTTACTGAATTTTGTAAACTGAAGCTAAGGATTCTAACAAGATGAATATACATATTTTTCCTCACTTAACCTATTAATGGAATGAATTACATCACATTTTAAAATCATGTTAACAGACTTCCTAAAGTTGAGCCAAGCTATCAGACTCATTTTTGGAAAGAAACCTCCTTGATTATAGCATGTTTTTCCTGTCAATATTTTTTCAGAATTTTTCAACTCTGTTCAAGTGACACTATACTGTATTTTTAACTGGGGAGGCTTTGTTAAGTTAAAAAATTACAAAGTTAAAAAATTACATTGACAATGCTTCATTTGTTAATACTTGGAGAAACGGACATGGGCTGCTCATTGCCTTTTCATTACATACCTGACAGAGTCTCCCCACAAAACCACCTAAACTGGCCTCTTGTAGTGAATGTTAGGCAAAAGGGCAGATTGTTATTATATTTAGATTTTTATTTATTCTTATAATTTTGAACATTTTCATTTTGGGAATTAGAGGGTACTATTCATGTAGGTTTTCAGATTTACTGGAATTTTATTGCACCTGGTATTTGCTTAATCACTTTTATTTTTGTTCTTTTTCCTATTTTTGTTGAAGTGTAACTGACCAATAACAAGTTTTTATATTTGTGATGTTTTGATAATGCATACATTTTAAACTGATTACCACAACTAAGCTGATTACCATGCACACATCTCCATCACCTCTCACAGCTGCTTTTTCTAAGGTGAGAATACTTAAAAATCTATGCGAAGGTTAATATTGTTAATATTTAGTTGGAAAACATTTCCAGTTATAAAATTGGTAGGTTGAGAGATGTTATTTTCAAAAATGTGTATAACCTAATTCTCAGAAGCTGTGAATGTCACTACATGGCAAAGGGATCTGCAGATGTGATCAGGTTAAGGACCTAGAGATGGGAGATTGTCCTGTATTATGGGGGTGACCCTGTGTGTAATCACAGGAGTCTTCGCAGTTAAGAGGCAGAAAGGCCAAAGGCTCTGCCATAGAGGAACAAAGCCTGGTGTGCTGTAGGAAGGGGCCAGAAGCCAAGGACACAGAGGCCTCCAGAATCTAGAAAGGACAAGAACCACATTCTGTCCTCAGTCCTGCCAACACCTTTCCCTTAGTCCAGCACAGCTGATTCCAGACTTCTGAGTTTCAGTATTTTAAGAGAGTAAATTTGTGTTGCTTTAAGCCACTAAAATTTTATACAGTACAGTAACGTATGTGTTTTTTCATATTTGATGTATTTTCTTTGGTCATCTGCCTTTTTTTTTTTGTTATCCTTGCCAAAGATTAATCTATCCTCACAGTTATTTTGTTTTTGTGCTTTTAAGTACGCTTCTCTTTTTTAAAAAAATTCTTTCTAATTGACTTTTTTGTAATTTTATCTTGGTCAGTTCTTACCCCTTGCTTTATTTTTATTTCATTTCTTAAGTTCATTTATCATATCACTTACTTTTCATTTCTTGTTATTAATAAAGTTACTTAAGGATATGATCCATCTATGTAAAAGATTTTGCCATATTGCAGAAATTTCAGTATATGGCATTTCAGAATTTTAATAATGTTAAACAATCATTTTTTTCTAATTTCTCTCTGACATGTTGCTTATTTTATATGATTTTAAGTTACAGGGTCCTTTTTAATTTTTAACTTTCTAAAGTTTGCAAGTGTTAGTCTATTCTCAAATTTCAAAGTTAATGCACTGTAGCCAATGAATGATACCCAAAAAACTTTCTACTATGGGAAGATACTACTATAAAAGTTTCACTTTTTAGATATTTTACTGGTTGGAGGATACAAACAGATATCAGTTTCATGAGATTTTAATTCTATGCACACCAGTTAAACCATACTTCTTAATATGTTTCCTATATCCTCATTTATAACCATAGCGAGGAATTCTGTCTTTGTCCCATACATGCAATACTGTTATAGTTTGGATTTGTAATGATCTCCAAAATTTCATGCACTCAAGGGCTGGTTGCTGGTCGATGGGGTTTTCGGGAAGTGATAGGATCATGTGGATTAACCACTGATGAAATTATGATCTGATGGTAATAATGAGAGGTGGCGGGAGCCAGAGCAGGGGCCCAGTTGAAGGACCCCTGGGGACATGGCCTCATGGATGGTATTTATTCCTCAGACCCAGACTCTCTGCGGCCATCCCCTTGAAGTGAAACTCTTCTGCCATGCCCTCCACCGTGACAATGCGCTTTCACCTGGCGCCTACAGCAACCAGCCAGCTGCCTGCAGTCCAAAACCTCTCAAGCAAAATAAACTTTTCTTCTTTTAAACTGTTTTTCTCAGATATTTAGCCACCGCCTCAAAAAGCTCATTGACACAGAGGGTTTTAGGAGCGAAAATGATGTGATGGAATTTATATGTTTAGGAAGCCCACATTGCAGACAGGAAAGTGTAATGGGAACAAGCGACAAGAAGGGTCTCCTGTGGGCAACAAGAGTGGAATGTCTGCGCATAGAATGGACTGACTCACGGGAGCGGCCAGATGGACAGTTAGTCACAGCAGAAGGACTCAATTCCAGGCTTCCCGAGTGCCCACGGAAGACCCTCTGTGCTGCACTTCACTGTGGTTCCGGAGTCCTCAGGGACTCACACAGTGCCCTGCACTTTCCTCTGCCCAGTCTACAAAGGAGTCTCAACCTTCCAGGCTCTAATTTTGCCACTGAGGACCAGACTGTTCAGAAAAAGTCTGTTGGGTCCCCACCCCACAGAAGCTCTGCTCCTGGGGTGTCGAGACTCTGTCCTACCCAACACAGACAATGCAGACAGCAACAAGAGCCACAAGAGCTCACACTTGGCATCCTACAGAGCTGAACAGAAGCATTTTCATCCCTGTCAAGGATTAAAATGTCGATATATGCAGATGCTTTCAACAAGATCAGTAGGAACTTAGTTTGTGTTCTTTTGTGCTAGTACTTTGGTAGCTGTCATCAGACCAAATAAGTAGTACTGACATTTGATCATTTTCTAAGGGAGACAGACTTCCTGGGTAATACAGCCACATTCTCAGAATCCAGGCTGGCAGCATATTTTTGCAACAGGTGGGTTGATTTAGTGGACAGAGCTCTGCAATGAGCACATCACACTGGGATCTCTCCAACATCCTCGATCTACCTGTGGCTCCTTGGGCCGGTGATTTAGGGCCTCGTTTCCACCA